CATCATTAGAACAAGCTATTTCTAACATTAATATTGTCACAAAGAAACTTAAAGCAGGTATTGTTTGCTATGAAATACAATTTTTGTCTTGCTCATCTAACATGGACCTTCATCAAATCAGACACATGCAAAAGCACAGACGAATATAAGATAATTTGGAACCCACTCAAAAAATAAAAAGACTGCTACAGACAAATTTTAGAAACAAAAGCAAATCCAAAGTTAGACAACAGCACAAGAGTGAGACAATCCCAACTATTGATATCTGGAGAATTCAAGGAGAAAATCAGGAAAGGTCCTTATTAGGTGTATAATTAGTTACATATTAGGTATGTAATTGTACAATCAATTGAGTATAAATAATGATTATTGCTTAATGTATTACTTTTTTATTGCTCAATGTATTACTTTTTATATTCCTTTCTCCCTCTTTTGTAAATCTTAAATATAGTATACTAGCTTTTAATAAATATTTTCCTCGTGAAATCATGTGGTAGTGACCATCTCAAAAGCAATTGCTTCTATCATGGTCACTACACACTTCTTCCTTTCCTACAATATGTAAAACTCTGTTCTCTCTATTTTCTCCTTTTATTTTATCTCATTTGTAGTTAATGATATAAATAGTGCAAAATAAAGATGATGATGATGATGGTGATGATGAGGTATGCTATGCATACAATGTTTTCACGATGAAATTACCTCCTTGCATTCAGACCGTTATGATTACATTTTCATAATATATCTTTTTAACACGTGCATCAATTGGCATGTACTTATCACCCTTGGGAAGGGGGGACCCTTAAATAAAAGGGACTGGGGTGCTCATTGTACCTTTGAGGGCAACCTCGTTCCCAGGGCCTTTTCCCTTAGCTGGCCCCCAGCTAAGGGAAAAGGTCATGGGAACGAGGTTGCTTTTAAGGGCTAAAAAAGGTGGGTTTTGTACCTCTTAGGCTGTTCAGCCTCAAATGGTCCACAGTAGCAGCTTCTGTGATACCTTTTAGGGCATTGCCCCAAAAATTTGTGAGAGTGCGTAGTAGAATTGGTGTCTCTCAGGGGTGAAAAAAAATTTTTATGCCACGCCCACAAACCAGGACCTTAGTATCTCCTTAGTATTTCTTTTAAAACCACTTCGCACCACGATTGGTCAACACTCATAACAGAAAGTCTCCCTGTAGCCCGACTTACGATCTTGGATCGTCTTGTTTCAGAAATAGATTTAGACAATGCTGATACGAAGAAAGAGTAATTTTTTGTGTGACTTACTATGAAATATGTAATAGAGACTACCGATAACCCTCTCTCCTTGCGTAAGGTTTCATGGCGAAACTGAAATCGCGTGTAAATCGCCTCAAAATAAGAGGGTTGCATGACATTTCATAGCTGCAAAGGACAAGAGTTGTCCTAAAGGAAGAAACTGCACGCGACTGATTAATTTTCCTTTCCTTTTGTAGGCTTCTGCGAGTGTTGTTTGCCTGCGGTCTAATTTTAAGACTTAGCACATGCCAGAACGAAAATGTGTCATGTATGCTATCATCGCCCCAACATCTTCGTTTCTTACCTATACTGAATTCTGTCGAGATTTTCGCTTATTAAGACAAAACACCACTTTCGACCTGAACATATCAACATATCAAGCTTTCGACCTCAACATATCAACATATTAAGCGTACCTAATTTCGTTATTATAAACTCTTTGATCTACCTACGTACGGGTTTTATGTTTTATCAGCGCACTAGTTTTCGAAACGAAAAGAAATGAAAATCTGTAACTTGCGAGATGAAATCTGTCATTGATTTGCGAAGAAAAAAAATCTTTAAACTTGCGAAATAGAAATCTGTAAATTTGAGAGATAGAAATCTATTAACGAGTTGTGAAATGAATAGAAATCTGTACTTTGCGAAACGAGAATCTGCGAGGAAAACTTCACACGCAGACCAGAATGAAACTGTCAGTTCACTACAAGTGTGGGTTGCGTACGCAGCCTACAAAATCATAACAACAACAACTAGTGGAAGTGAGAATTGAAAAATTTGCGTGCGTGGTGTTCTATGTGAAATCTCCACTACGTTCGTGACTAATTCAATGTAAAGGAAGAGTTATGCATTAAAGAGAAAATGTAATTTGAAATATTAGCTGGCGCTGTAGCTGCACAGTATATTAGGTGTTGAATTCTCGACATGACACTTCCGAAATTACACTGGAAATGTCGCAGCATATTTCTAGATAAAATATCTCGTTTGCTTGGGAATGATGATGAAACTGACCCAAACTATTTGATTTTCTTGAATTTCAGGACTGTTTACGATATTTTGCAGATTTCAAATTGCAAATTACAGTTTCATTTTGTTTCGTTTCGCAAATCACAGTTAGTCTTTAGACGTCACCCGTGAATTTTCTCTTCCATTCGGTAAAGATCCCAAAATTTCACTGACCGAAACCTCTTACGCAAATACGTGAATTGTTGTAAAGTTTCGTGCATGAAACTGGATCAGGACCCCTCTTTGTTCCCCTCTTAATTAATAAAATTCTCTGGTTGGTGGTTCGTTTCGACCTTTATAACTTATGTTACACAAGAAAGGATTAAAACGACTTCTCTTTCGTTATGGCAGATAATTCAGAGCAAGGGCCAAAATTATTATGGGACAGGCGAATTTTTCAGAAATTTACGAAACAGCATGAGGCGTGCTCCGCCTCCTGAAATAGGTGTCTCGTGGTTTTATCTCTTTCGTTTCGTGAAAACCTTGAGGTTTCCCAAAATATTTGTACACAAGAAGAGAAATTTGAAGTTTTTCTAATGATAAACGTTATGCGTAAATTTCCAGTCTAAAAATCAGTGCGTGAAACAAAAAAACGGTCTTCGGCGGACGTTACTGAAATCTAACCACTTAGGCTTAAAATGCTACTGAGACGAAAAATTGATGTTCTTCAAAACAAATTTTTTATGCCGACAATTTAAGTTTAGATCCTAAACAAAAAGAAAAAATATAATATCAGACCTATCGCGGCAAGAAAAGTCCGAAAAAATTTAGATTAAAACTCACTAAATTTCGTCCGCTCAAACTACAACTGCTGAGCCAACGATAATTTTCAGCGTCATTCCCCATTGTGACATCATAGTATTCCTTTTTCAGTCGATGTTCTCTATTTTAAACGACAGTAATGGTTCTGTTTCTTCAGATGAGGGGTCTATGAATGATTTTTGTAGTGTCGAGGAGAAATTTGAGAAAAACATTTAAACATGGCTAGTGAAGAAATGAGGGAGCTAGAGCTTCAAAAGCGCCTTACTGGTGACGCAGAAGTTCATAATAGAAATTTTAGCACATATGTTCTTAGTTAAGGTTTTGTAGCAGGATAAAATATCTTCTTGAAAGGCTATATATATTGTTATAAGGTGTCTTCGAGCAGTACTCTTCCAGCCAGTTTACCCTTGTTCTTATTTTGCTGGAAGTTCAAATCTTTTCTCCTTGTCATGTAATGTCTTAAGGCCGTTATGCAACGCTTTTCCTAGCGAAACTGTGGTATACCATGGTTTCGAAGAAAATCAATGGCCTGTTTATTTCTATGAGTTCTGCTTTACTTACTACACATTACTATGAGCTCGTGTTTGTGCAGCTTTTCATCTTCGGAATAAAATCAGAATGCTGATAAACTTTTACAAAGGAACACTTTTTGTTATTCTCAGGGAACAAAGGTATTTTGTCCACACTGTTACTGTGACACCCAGAAACTGAACTCCAGAAATACATGTACTTATGCAATGTCCTTGCAATTCAGACAACTAAACAGTAGCAGTAGGGAGTTTGTACACTCCTGAACTATTTTGTGTTGAACTATACACCACTGTCCTGTGAGAGTCAAATCAAAGTGTTTGTGGCTTTCTTAGTCTAACAGTGATAAGAAATTAAGCAGTGTGGTCCTGTAGTTTACATGGTTGCATAGCTTACTGCAAATCTGTAGTTCACCACCTTCTCTAACCTTAGATTTGCCAGGTGGTCTGCCTTCTACAAATTA